GTACCAGTACAGATGACGGGCTTCGCGGCTGCATACCCAAAGGCGTATTCTGGAGCTCCAGCTCCTGTCGGCTATACATATCCTCAACCAATGGCCACATACCCTTGCCCCCTATCAACCAATGGCCACATACCCTAATGCCCCCTATGCAAGTCCACCTCCTGCTGCTCCCTACTCTGTCCAATCTCACTTTTCTTATCCCCAGTATGCTGTTAAGAAAGAAACTCCTCCTGCACCTACAGGACTTGGGGGATATCCTTACTACATGCCAAAACAATGATAATAAACTAAAGAGCAGCATACGGTGAGACCACAGGTATTCATTGTCCATAGCTGCATCATGTTTTAACTTTATCCTCAGTTTTCTCATTTATATAATTCGTCTGACCCGTGGTCTTATTCCCCTTCTATGCAGGTTATCACTGTTACTGTTTTAGTTTTGCAGAATTGAGGGAAGTTAAACAGTTGAACGGTGTTTAATTTGTTAAGTTTAAGAAATTATTAATATTGCAGTTGATTAGTGAATTTCTGTTTAGACATGCGAATTTGTGAATGCTATGTGGTGAAACATGTCAATTCACATCAACATTATCACCTTGTTCTTCTTATTCTGTTCATCTATGTCAAATGCATCTTAAATAGTGGATTTTTCCATGGTGAAATCTGGATCTTCTTCTTTGTTTTAAGGGATTTCATCTTTCAGAAGGGAAGTGTTGGAACCACAGAAAAAAATGTTGTGTACATGTAATGAAGCTTCAAGAAGTAAATGGGCCCAGCCGTAAAGCCACTGTATCTTCCTTTATTCAAAATTCAAACACTAAATTTAGGTCAAATGAAAGGGTCCAGCTATCACTTGAAAAATTAGCGCCGCGTGGTCCACCTGCCCACTGCCAGACAGCCCAGCAATGCTTCACGGGACTTTTTTTTCACTTTGTCCAGGAAAAACTAATCAAATGAATTGATTACATCACAGTCAATTAGGTTTCCAAAATTCAACTACCAAGCAAGGATGAAATCATTATGAATCCCACCTAAGTGTTTGTTCCCATAATTAATACTCTCTCTACCCTTGAACAAAATTGAAATATTTTTGAGTTTTTAATATATGAACTATGGATCAATGCATTTTCGATAATTTACTAAAACCAAGTGTGTTTGAGGCGTATTATTTTTGAAAAATATATTTTGAAATAGTAAATTGAGGGAGAATGTATGATTAAAAAATAAGGAAAAGTTTTAGAATTGTGTGTAATATTATTTTATTTAAACTTGTGTAATTGAAATGATGTCAAATCATTATTTAAGAATATTTTTTTTTTTCAAAATAATGTGATTCAAATAGGGCCGAATCTTAATAAGCTCATGTTTGACAACCATATTATGAAAAATCTTTTTTTTTTCTCCATTTATTTTCAACCTCATAATTACATAATAAGATAATTTGAACATAAATTGAATTTTTTTTTTTTTTTGATTTTTCAATTGTATATTCACTTAAAAAATGACTATTCAAAATATTATTTTTCCCAAATAATGATAGTCAAACAAGGCCTAAGTTTACACACTTTAAGTTATAAAGATTTGAGTTAACTAGTATTAAACATTTTCTCAAAACAAAAAAAGAAGAGAATCATTATTTATGTAATAACGAGTCACTATCTTATTGGTTGTGAGTTCAAAAAAATCCTTTTACCATGAGTAATGCTCAACGTCACACGCTTTTTCTTCTCTTCACTTCTGTGCAGTCCTTATTTGTTCTACCTTTCTATGGACATGAATTTCAATCCCCTCAAAACTCAATCCATTTGCTGAATATTCTTTAATTTTTTCCAATTGTTTTTGATTCGGGCCTTCATGTTCTCAGTTTGCAAATTTGATCAAATTTCTTTTCATCACTCAAAGAATCTAGTCTTCCCTTCTTTATTGACATTACCTTTGAAATCATCAGTGCATACATAAAACCCATCTGATTTTTGGGTTTTTCATCAGTTTCTTGATTGATTTAATCGGATTCTTTTCGATCAGAGATGCAACCAGCGGCTGTTTCTTATTAGGTAGCTTCATTTTGTATGCTTGTCTAAGTTTTTATCTTTTATCTTTTATGCTTCACATGCAATAGCTTTACCAGATTTTCGTTGTGTGTTCCATGGACTTCTCATGTTCTGTTTACTCTAGTATGATTTGTTTCTTTGTTCTAATTTTGTAAATTAAAGCTATTTCGAGTTTATTTGATGTGCTGTTTATCAACTGGTTTTGCTGTTCTTTGGTGTGTTGAGGGTTATATTTAAAGAGAGTTTGATCTAATATGTGTTTTTGGACTTTTTATACTGATATCCGTTGATTGCCTACATCAAAGATTGCATATTTGGATCGATGCACATTATTTTTGTTTGTCAGAGAGGGAAGAAGGTCCATCGAGTAGAACTCCATTAGGAGTATTAATTTATAGCTCCTGATCTCAGAATTTGTCATTGCAGATTGATAATTTGGTTGTTTGAATTGCTGATTTAAATAATGGGTAGAGTAAGAGGAAAAGGGAAGAAACAGTCTGTTGCTTCTCGAGACGATGCTGGGAGTGGAGAGGATGAGAAGATACAGATAAGGAGAAGAGGAAGGCCACAGAAACCATTGAAGGATGGAATTGAGGAAGAAGAAAAAGGCGAGAAGATAGAAGAAGAAAAAGATGAAGATGGTGAGGAGACATTGAGTTCTGTATTGAGTAAAAGTTCAAAAGCTCAAGCTGCCACAGGGAATGGCAGGAAGAGAAAGAGGCCTTCACAGATCAAGGACGATACCGATTCAGTGAAAGAGGAAAATGGTGTGGGGAAGAATACTAATACTACCAACTTGATCAAGTCTGTTGGGTTCAGGCAAAATGGAAGCAGGAGGAAAAATAAGCCTAGACGTGCTGCTGAAGTTGGCGTTGACTGCAAATGAGTTTGTGCTGCAGCATTGTTTGCTGATTTGGAGCTTTCGCTATTTCTTCTCTTAAGTTCATAGTCTTGACAATGTCTTTCAAGAAATTCTCTTATGTTAATGTTTTTTGCTAGTGAAGAAGATTGCAAGTGCTTGACATCTCACGTTATTCATATTTCTCCCTAAATTATCCTAATTAATCTAGAAAAAATCTTGCGATTATCTAGACGGCGTGAGAATATAGACTTCGGTTAGGACAAAGAGAGCTTAAAATTTCAGAGTCTACTTCCTTTGGATCATGTCAATCATTTGTGCATAGGATTTTTCTAGTAGATACATAAGTTGGGTACTATATTGTGTATCTTACTATTTATCTAAATTATTGCACTTATTTTGAAGTGACTGAAGGAAAGCTTGAAAGGGACAGATTTACAAAGACAGCAGTTGGTCCTAACTTGGTTTTTATCACTTCAACTCACCTTATTAAAGGTTGAATCCCAACCTTAAGGGCCCCCCACCGTTCCTGCCCTGGAGCATCGTGAGGGAGGTAAATCGCAGGTTATGCATCCAAGGTATAGGGTGAAAGGTTGCTTGTACACTTGCACTTACCCAAGAGCCAAATCCATATTTCAGGATTCGAACCCTTGACGCAGCAGCCTTAAGCAAAGCTGAAAGCTGGATTTCTCCACTCTCCCCTTTTACCATTTGGAGATGTGCCCTGGGGGCACTTCAACTCACCCTATTAGGTTTGTGTCATGGTTGCTTGATAATATAGATATGAAAAATGAGTTAAATTGGAGGATCATGAACTAAAGTGGTAGAGGAACAGGAACGGGAAAGGGAGGGAGAACCAATAACTTTCTATTGTCAATTTTTGTGAACAGAATCAAGTAGTCAGCACATGAAGTTGAACCCATAGTCGATGCTTTTACTCTCAATCATAGTTGCACGATGGAGAGCCATGGGAGGAAAAAGAAATTTGTCTCTTTCCATTCCATATATAACCTTGTTTCCATATATTTGCTTCAGAAATGGAACAGAATTTGCCAATGACATTGACCTGGATCCTCTTTTGAATGCATATCTTCTTCTGGTTCATGTACATTCTGATTGTTCATACTCAACCGGGGAGAAAACAATTTACCAATTTATGGGACTTGCCAGAGCGTGTACTTGTGGCCAGCTTAGGTTCTCAAACAAAGTAGCCATGAACACTAGTACAATTCTATAGACCCAGGACATGTATGTTCAGCTTTTGTTTATGAGTTTGGAAATGCCATTTGCTTAATTTTAAAAAAATGAATGATAGGAGGGATTTTTTTTTTTTTTTTTTAACTGTCAAATGAATATCAAACTTGGTGTACATTAAGCATGATTGTTTTGAGTTTTCTTTAAATTTATTTTTAACCATACATTTTTTTTGATCAAATAAATTTACATTTAAGCCCAAAACATTTTCTTATTTTTTAACTACACATTCTTCAAAAAATCACTGTTACAAAATTTATAATTCAGTAAAATGGATTTCAAACAAAGGCTTACATTTTCCATGTACAAAAAATAACATCAATTTCTAATTACACGCAATTACTTTAATAGCTTTATTCGGGTAAAAAACTTGGAGTGTGCTTGAGCGCCATTTATATTGAGAATGTATTTTGTAAGAGTAATTTTTCGGAGAATGTATAATTAAAAATTGGGACAACTTTTGGGTTTAGGGGTAAAATATTTTATTGAAAGAATATGTGAAAATGTCTTTAAAAAATGGGGATGAAACATGGGACAAATGTTTCAAAAATTAAAAGTTGAATCTATATGTGTAGAAAAATTGTTTGAAGATTCTTTATACTTCGAAGAATAAAATCAAGCTGCTTGTTTAAAATGAAGTCTCTACCAATTATATGACAATATCGATTCCACTAGGTGTACAAAATTCACCTTCACAGAAAATTTCCCGTCTATGCAAATAGATGCAAGATTTTGTTGCCGGCTATGCTTTCCGTCTTAGGCAATTTCGTTCAATTGAACCACGAATAAGCACAAGCTTTTCAGCCCTATAACTATTATCCTTGCATAAACCTTTATCTCCTACCCATTTTGCCACCACAGTCGTAACTATCTCCGGTTGCCATCGTTCAACCGTTTTGGCGAAAGGCCAGTGTTTTCAGACCTGGATGTATTATTGATTGCATTGCGAGTGAAGATTGTTATTTGTTTCACATCCTCTGCACATTTGTTGTAAATGTATGTTTTTTTGGGTTTTTATACAAATTCAATGATTTTTGGAGAAATTAGTAATTACAGAGATATATAGCTACCAAATAAATGTCATCAATTTTATGGAATGGAAAGAACACCATCTTGTAGATCAATGTAAAACCAAGTACAACTAACATGAACAACGTTAAAACTCACTTGGAGCAATCGATGTTTTCCCAACATCAATAGTAATATGTGTTGGTAAGTTTAGTGATTTTGCCTTTGCTTGTACAAATAAGAAGAAATTATAATACAACATGCTGTAAGGAAAATTCTAAATATAGGTTTAGTAGATTAGTCCTTTACTTCCTTGATAAGTCTTGCAATAACAATTTCCAACTCCTCTAAATATTGTTTGCCATGTAGGAATGAGAGAAATGAATTATGGTATTTGTCACAGTTGTAGAAGCACAGATCACTACTTCGGAGATTGTAAGAGAAAAGTTCGCTGTCCACGGTGTATAGTTGGAATTCAGAAATGTTTCGAGGTTGAAAATGAAGATAATAACAAAGGTCGACTATTCAAAACTTGCAGCAACTCTTGCGGATTGTTGACATTGGATGGACCAAACTCGAGGCTGGTAAGTGTTGCGGGTAAGCATGACTTTCTGCGTCACCCTACATCGAACAATAACTCAATTATTAGTTTCAAACAAATAATCATAATAAACTAAATCACTAAGTATACTAACCAACAATAGTTGTAAATACGAAAAAGGTGCTGTATTAAATATTGTTGAGATGCTAGAACGACGGGTGCAATCAATAACGTATTACCGTGACTCGACGTTGGCCTCTTTCCTTTGGTAAAAGTCTACACTTTAACGTCCATTACATATATGTTGTAGGGGAATATTTTTTACATTAACAAAAAGACTGACCAACATACATTTGCTTTATTTGAAGAGGACTCCAACGGACTTTTTTTCCTAGCTTTTTTGGTGCAGCCTTTCTCTTAATTGATATAGGATCACGTACACACCCGTTGGTAGTCTTCGGATTCATTGCATTGCGAGGCAAACTAACTACCAACATGTGAAATGATATACTCCCACTAACTGACTTCATCGTGAGCAACTCTTGTTTTGATCTATTATCCACTCCGTTATCACATGGAATCGTACTTCATCATCGACAATGAGTTTGCAATCTCCGCAAAACCCAAAACATATCGTTGTATCTCAACTGTTCGTGAGTTCTAACCAAACCATCGTAGTTCACTATGACCTTGGTTGTGCTCTACAAACATCTCTCCTCCATCATCGTAGTATATGCCTCTTAGACAGTGACATAACGTGACATCGTCACGGATCAATACCATGATAGCATGCCGACACAAAATTCCCCACAACTCATACAAGTGGTAATTGCAAACAATATCACAAATATCTCTCTGGAATGAGATGAAGAACTTTTTATCTTTCGTCACTCATCACATATGACAACCTCCCGTATTTCGTACATCATCCCTGCAGTACCATCCGTAGTAGATATGATGTCACAATAAACCTTCCTAGCGAGTTCGACTTGAACTTCCCCCAACTTCGAAATGGTATAACACTTTCGATACCACTTCTTTATTTTGAACATTGTTGTACACGATACCATTTGCGAGTAAGACATGAAGTCAGTCTGGAACTCTTTCTTAACCTTATTCCTCAGTGCTCGTTTATATTGCTCGACAAAATGCTTCAACGAGATCTTCAAATGAACATACGCATCGAAAAAGGCACATACTCTCACTACGTTGAGTTGTTGACATTCCTACCCAGAATATGTTCTTTAAATAACAAGGAACCCAATGACATCTATTATTGAACAGTCTTGATAACCAATTATTACTATGCATCATTCTCCAACCTTCTTCCAATTTTTCAACAAACTCGAATCATACACTAGTCCATGTATGCTCGAAAAAATTGAAGCCTTATTAACATGGTATCTAAATTTTTCTAGTAATTTCTTCAAAATATGCCACAAACACTATCCATGTTTTGTATTCAAAAAAATAATCTCAATTGCATTTTGCATGACCCTATCTTAATCGGTAATTATTTCATGGGGATCTTTTTTATACATGCATTGAAGGCATGTTCTAAACAGCCACACAAATATATCTATGTCCTCATTAGACAACAAACCACAATCGAGTAGCGTTGATTGTCCATGATGATTAACGCCAACAAAAGGGGCATATCGTACTTGTTAGTTAAGTAAGTGGTGTCAAATGTAACAACGTCATCGAACTTATTGTACGCTTGTCGACACCCATTACTACCCAAAATACATTCCTCAGTTAAGACTCATCATCCATATCTATGCTGAAATAGAATCCTGAGCATTGGGCTTGCATCCTGGAAAAGTAGGACTATATTACTGTGGTATCTTCTTCCCCAAGTCCTAATCGTCTTACTTGTTCAATATAATTTCAACAGTCCTTTTCTATGCAAGTAATATATCCACTTGCTTCAACAACTACGAAGTTGTGGTTTTTGTGCAATGGAATTACTGCCATATCATTTACTTCAAACTTCCATTTCACATGTGTTCTAACTCCCAATGGCAGCGATACAATCTCGATTTCGAAGTACTTGTTTTATAATTGTGGTTGAGGTGGACTTTGTTAATTCTCCAGATCCCATAAATATCTGAATATGCAGTATCTTGGTATTACAATTCGTCTGAATTGTTTGTTGGGGCTGCAAAGAACCGCTTGTACTAGTGGTTCTTCGATCTTCATGGCTACATGTGAATGTGACATATTTCATTTTTTCATCGTCTCCTTTTCTCGAATTCCTTCTCCTAAATGGAAACCTAACATAATACGCATATCCTTTATAGATGTCCCACAATTCTTTTTCATCCTTGAACGTCATACCCACCTCTGGCACCACTGAATCATTTTCTTCT